CTGGCGTGGGTATCGGCGTAGGCGCAGGCGTGGGTGCTACCGCTGGCAGTGGTGTCGTAGGAACTGTCGTTAGTACTGGCCTCGACGGAGACGTCGGGGCTGGCGTCGGTACTGGCTGCAACTCTGGCGTGGGTAGCGGCATGGGTGCAGGCGTGGGTGTTGACGCTGGCTGTGCTGGCGTAGGAGCTGCACGGAAAAGGCCATAACCTGAGTTTGGTCCCGAAATTCTGGGTTTCGGACCAAAAGTCTGGTACTGGACCCCACGGGGTCCTCCTGGCGCAGACGTCGGAGCTGGCGTCGCTGCTGGCTGCAACTCTGACGTGGGTAGCGGCGTAGGCGCAGGCGTGGGTGCTGCCGCTGGCGGTGCTGTCGCAGGAGCTGTCGTCGGTGCTGGCCTCGATGCAGACGTCGGAGCTGGCGTCGACGCTGGCTGCAACTCTGGCGTGGATACGGGCGTAGGCGCAGGCGTAGGTGCTGACGCTGGCGGTGCTGGCGTAGGAGCTGTCGTCGGTGCTGGTCTCGATGGAGACGTCGGAGCTGGCGTCGATGCGGCCTGCAACTCTGGCGTAGGTACCGGCGTAGGCGCAGGCGTGGGTGTTGACGCTGGCGGTGCTGTCGTAGGGGCTGGCGTCGGTGCTGGCCTCGATACGGACGTCGGAGCTGGCGTCGAAGCTGGCTGCAACTCTGAGAGACGATGATGCCGAGGAGAGGTCTGTAGGTCACCAGGCTTCGGCGGGCCTGAAGGCGCCGCCGAGCGAGTGGCCATACAGGGAGCGCAGGAGTGGCTGATTGTGGTGCTGACGTCTCTTGCGGCCGTCGGAGCTGTCGCTGGCAGTACTGGCGTCGCTGCCGTCGATGCTGACGTCGGAGCCGCCGCTGGCAGTGGTGGCGTCGCTGCCGTCGATGCTACCGTCGGAGCCGGCGATGCTATCGATGCCGCCGTCGGAGTCTGTGAAACTGCGGGCGGAGCCGTCGTCGCTGCCGTCGATGCGGCCGTCGGAGCCGACGATGCTAACGATACTGACGTCGGAGCCGGCGGTGCTAACGATGCTGCCATCGTAGCTGACGATGCTAGCGATGCTAGCGGTGCTGCCGTCGGAGCCGTCCTCGCCGCCGTCGATGCTGCCGTCGGGGTCGGCGAAACTGTGGTCGTTTCTGCCGTCGGTGGGAGCGTCGATGCTGACCTCGGCGCCGGCGCCGGTACTGCGTCGTCAAGGTCGTCGTGGTCGTCGTCGTTTCCTCCTCCTCCTGCGGGGCGGGGTGAGGGAGGGGGCGAGGATGGTGCCGAATCCGTACCCCTCGCTGGCGTCGAGGCTGACTGCAGTGCCGTCGTCAGAGCTGGCGTCGATGCTGTCTGCGGAGCTGGGGTTTGGTCCGTCGTTGACGTGGGCGTGAAGGCTGCCGAGGACGATGCTGACGTCGATGTTGACGTCGATGGGGTCATAGGCACAGACGCTGGTGTCGGCAAGGCGGACGGGTCATGGCATGACAGGACGGCCCCTCTAGCGTCAGGTGCACCTGAAGGCAGCACCCTCGCCGACGGCCCTGGGCGAGGCGTCAGGACAGAGGATGTTGAAAGGCCCGTCGAGGCTGGCGTCGATGCGGTCGGCAGTGCTGGTGGCGATGCTGGGGTCGATGCAAGGACGAGCATGACGACGGCCGAGATGGTGGCCCGTTTGGGGCGGGCCAGGCCCGCCGTGCCCTTGAAGCCGCAGGCGGAGCCGAGGACGCCGAAGAACGCGTAGCCGACCTTGACGGCCCTTGTGGGGCGGGCTGGGCCCGCCGTGCCGGCGGAGTCGACGATGTGCTTGACGACGCTCCTGGTGCCCTTGCCGATGGTACGCAAGACCGTACCGACGGTGCCGAGAGCGATGCCGAAGGTGGAGCCGAGGCCGTACCCGAAGTTCAGCAAGATAATGCCGATGAAGTTGAGAGCGGTGCCTGCGGTGCCGCGGGAGCGCTCTCGGGGGGAGGTTGGGGGCCGACTGCTTGTCACGCACGGCGCGACGACGGCAGGCGTGGGAACAGCCCGACCGCACTCAGCACCGTCACCCTCAGCAGTCGGGAGCCCGACCCCCCCCTGGATACCTGGCCGTACCGAGGTGAGCAGGTGCTGGACGGAGTCGTCTGTGTTGGCGTCGGTGCCTGGTAGGTGAGCGCGGAGGTCGGCTCGGTAGGCGCGCAGCTCGGCGCGCAGGTGGAACACGTCGTGCCCGAGTATACGTAGATCTTCGTGAAGATCCGCACGCGGCACGTGTGGGGCGTGTCCAGGTGGTACTGGGAGGTCGCGCCCGTGCAGGACGGGCGCGCGGAAGACAAGGTCCTGGTGCCTATGTTCAGTAACAAGGCCAGGCAGCTCAGGTAGTACAGCATGGTGAGACGTGAAAGTGCGGTGGCGGCCTGGCGCAGCCAGGGGGGCCATGGCGGCAATCGCACTGTGGAAGTGAGGAGACGCAAATCAGTACCGCGCTGCTGGCGCGGTTCCGGTCTCGCGAGGCCTGGAGTCGGGACTCCAGAGCGGGGCGCTTCGCGTCGCGGCTACGCTATGAGTGCAGGGCACTCTCGAGCCGAGACCGAGAGAGAGAGAGAGAGAGAGAGAGAGAGAGAGAGAGAGAGAGAGGGAGAGAGAGAGAGAGAGAGAGAGAGAGACAACAAAAAAAGAGAACGGGAAGGAAGCGGGCGCGATCCTCGGGAGGAGCGCGCCGCCATGGGCGTCGACGCTTATGCGCGTGGACTGATTCGCGCGCAGACTCATTCACAATCAGACTCACTCGCGCTCAGTCTCTCGCACGCAGACCTATCGTCTTCGCCCGCGTCGCGTGTCCCGCCGCGCATCTCGGCGCGCCCTTCGCAGAGCGCGGGCAAAGATGATATTCATACTTGCGGTATTCACAACTGCGCATGGTTGGGTCCTTCGCCAGGATAATTGAAGCATTTCTGGCTGGAGCTGTCTTGTTTTAGCGCAGCGGGTTCATGTTCTAAGATCTTCGTTTTCGTTCTTACAACATTTTTGGGTTCAACGAAAATTTCGTGGTAAACCTAAAGGGATGCAGGGACGGTCGGTCCCTGCTCACCACTCGGGAGCCTTGGGACGGGGGTCAGTGCAAACGGGGGTCAGCCAGAGCGCCCGATGCTGCAGGATCCTGCAGGGCCAGGGTCGCATCGACCCTGGCTTGGGTGCAGGCCCTTGCTTGGGCGCAGGATTTTGCAGGATCCTGCAGGATTCCGCAAGATTCAGCAAGGCCTGACTGACCCGGGTTTGGGTTGACCTGGGTCAGAAACTCACCAAAACATTGACGTTCCGTTTGCCAATCGCCTGTCGGAGACACGAAAGATTCGAGAAAACCAGAATTCGGGTTTGCCGGCATTTTTTTGGCGAGCGCGTCCCAAATTTAGACGGTCCAGTTTTCGCGGGATGTTTGCAACGGGGGTTCGCGTCAAATTTCAGATAGGGTCTCGTCATTTTTGTGATGGCCCCGTCAGGCCAACCCGAATTCCCCGTGCCCGAGTCTTACGTCTCCCCGACCAGGGAGGAAACGTCACCCACACCCCGACAATTTGGCGTTTTCTGAACGGCCGTTGGGCGTTTCCATAAAACAGCCCTGCCCTGCTCGATGACGTTTGCCTTGGGTGCGCTTGCTAAAGGGCTTCTGCCCTCTAGCCTTCAGTCGTGCCTCTCCCTCTACAGGAGGGATCTTCAAAAGTAGTAAAAAATAGTAGGGGGACGATGTTTTGAGTATTTGTTTGGCTATTGTGGTGTATTTGGTGAGTATTTTTAGTTTTTCGCCCAAGATCGGCCTGTAGGGGGACAGGCCCGACCTAATTCTAGCCATGTCTTTCCCGAGGATCGGCAGGGAGGCACATACACCATCTTCCGGTGGCCCGCATGGATCGTCGGGGCTGGCCCCCCCTGGCAGCGCTCGCTTCGCGCCGCCAGGGGGTGGAGACCTGCGCCGACCCGCGGGATCCGTGCTGACCTCAGAAGGTTGACGGGTAGGTCTTGTCGGATGTGATCGTGTCCCTCGTTTGTACCGTGCGCACGGATGTCGCCACGTCTTCTGCATACCTCTTACGAGCTGGAGGGCACGGTTGCGGAGTTGTGCATTGAGCAGTCTAAATGTTGTATGCCAGATGTTATGATGCAGGGCTCCTGCACTGGTTTGCCAGGACCCTGAAACCAAGATATGCAATGCCCGAGACAAACAATAGAAACTTGAGTAAGGCACATTCGGATGAGCAGTAAGTGGACATGGAGCAGGTGCGCAGCAGGAAGATTAGGTGCAGGGGAGCGCATGAGCAGAGATCCGCAGAGGGACAACCAGGAGGCGACAGGGATGCGCGAATGTGGCCTGAGTCGGTCCCTGTTGGCTGTCACGTTGTCCGAGTTGGCCGCCAGATTGCCAAATCAACGTAGAACTTGGCCCAAAGTGGAACCGGATTTGGAAGGGCCTTGTCAAAAGTCAAGCATTGATGGCCGATGTGGGTCCCATTTTGCCAGGTGGCGTGGTGGCCCGAGGTCGCACCGAGACGGTCCCAGGTGCCCCCGATGTGGCCCAAGGCCCGAGGAGGCCCAAAGACGGGCCAGAGGTGGCCCCAGGATCTCCCAAGTTGGTCCCAGGAACGCTCAGCTTGGCATTTCGTGGGTCCCTCGGATTTTTCCGGTGCTCCCGCCACCACCGTCTCTTGGGCGGCCTTGGACCTGTCTGGGCTCGCCTTGAGGCCGCTTTGGGTCTTGACCCTTTGTGGGACCGTCCTCTGTCCTCGTGGGAGTTCTCGAGGCTCCCTGTGGCCGTCCTCGAACCCGCTGAGGCCCTGCGAACGTCGCCCCAGGCAGAAGAGCACGCGAAGCGACACTAATGCAACCCATGGCAGTTCTCGCCGAGCGCTTGTACACCGTCCTCCTTTGCAAGATGCCGTGACCGGTGTGTACCCAGCTGGCATGCGAATGGTGTTTCCGTCCAGCTGCTCTCCACGTGGCATCGCGCTCTCTCACGCCGCCCCCTGCATCGGCTCAAGCATTTTCTGCCCTGGATTTTCTCGCTCTGTTGTGTGTGTCGGGTGCCACATCTCTAATTTCCTAGCGGGGATGGGTGAAGACGTAGGTTCGGGTCATCAGAGGTGGAAGGCAGCACGAGGTATGCTGTCGATTACAGGGGTCGAGACATGGGATCGAGACCTGCTGACAATAGCATAAAGGCGCAGGGGTCGAGACATGGGATCACGCCGCCATCGTCGGATTCGTTCTCTTCCCGTCGGGATTGCAGCGGATGTCCGGATCTTCGAGCGGACCATTATATGAGATGTGCTCGTGGGTGTGCGCAATCTGGGTCGTTGGAAAGGTTGTAAAGATGAGATGATTTGTCTGGGTTACCCTTGATCCTTCTTGAATCCAGCAAGCCTGGATCTCGCGGGTGCGCACCTGCATCCTTGGCGTTTTGGCCGCGCGCCTGTTGTTGTTGTCGCTTGGACACCCAAGGGCCTGTACCCCAATCCATCCGACGACGTGAGGTTGACAATCCTTGGGCTCAGAGGTCTCGACCCCTTCTCAGAGGGGCAGCTGTCCTTCCTAGATCTATTTCTGATGGCTCCCGAACACGCCGCTCTGGGAGGCCAAGGTGGATCACCACGCGCTGTCGTGGAGAAGGATCTACCGTTGAGCAGTTGTTTGCAAGGCAGTTGCGAGTTTGCCTACGGGGCCTCGGGAGGGGAGTGCCTACGTGGGGCGAGGCCGCTTCTGGGGGAGATCCCTCCAGGCCACTAAGCGCGAGGGGTGTACAGAAGTGGGCGCGGGCACGCATGCGGTCTTGAGCACTGTGGCATTCGATGGAGCTCCGTTCTGGGCCACGAAGGGTGCGATGGGGTGTGTGCCCAAGTGGGCGCGGGCGCTCATGCGACCCTTGCAATTGTGGCTCCAGTGGAACTCCCCATGGGGCCACGAAAGCTGGGATGGTGGTGTGCAGATGTGGGCACGCGCACGCGTGCGACCTTGGCCGCTGGGGCATCCAGTGGAGCTCCCTGTTGGGTCACGGAGCGTGTGAGGAGTACGTCGAGGCGGGCGCGGGCGCCCATGCGACCCCCTGCCACTGGGGAGGTCGTTCGAGAGCTGCTCGTCGCTTCGCTGCCCCGCCACTGAACTGGAGAAGCCGGGAGGCCCGCTCCCTCCGTGGTTCCCGAATCCGTGCTTGCACCTGGGAGGGGGATGTATTGCGGTCTTGACGCCGAAGTGCGGACCACCTGGGGCCCAGGAGGGGCTCCGGTGCACGCGTGGCCGTTCCGTGGACGTCGGTCTCGGAACCCACGCGTGGCCGAGGTTGGTTGCCCCGTGGCCAGGAAGTCCCTCTCGTTGCATAAGCAGCGTCCCTGACAGTATGATCATGCCGGTTGCATCTCATGATCCAAATCGGAGGCGTGCGAGGGGGGGGGGAGTGAGAAGGGGAAGGCCCTGTCAGAAGGCTCGGACGTCCCCTGGCCTTCTGCCGAGAAGTTTGTAAGCCTTCTCCGAAGACGCAGAAGACTTCTCAGGGGGCGCGAGTGTTTCTGAGAAGTCCCGCCGCCTTATGAGAAGGCCTTCTCCCCCCTTGCTCGCGGCCGACTCAAAGACTTTGTCAGACGTACTCTCAGTGGAAGTGTAGGCGTGGGGTACTCGCGACAGTGTCAGCAGGCTCCCATCGCTCTGCGGGTGGCAGCGCACCACAGGGCTCGTTCGACTCGCGTGCGATGAATTTGCATACGATCATACATGTTTGGAGGTCCCCGAAGATTTCTCTGAATCTGCGCTGGGCCCTGCCTGCGACGCCTTCGGCGCCTCCGCTGGCTCGCGCTGCGGGGCACGGAGAGGAGTCCAGCGCGGTTCCAAGAAATCTGGGCGGACCTCGGCATGTGTTTCCCATGTTTTGTTTCTTCCTCTTTAATTTCAGCCGCCTACCACCGTATGCATAAAAGTCTCGGGGTGCCCCAAACATACCGACCCGACCATCTTGTGTTGCTGGCCCTTCTGAGGAAAGTGCCGTGCGAGCGCCGATGCTTGCGTCCGTATGGACAATGCGTTGACGATGCATCTCCCCATCGAAGTGTGCCACGAACGCGGAGGGCGTTGACACAAACTTCCTGACTCCGCTCCCACCCAACACGTGGTCCGCCAACCTCTCGACCTTTTCCTGGGGTCGGCTTTTCATTCCAAATAGTTGATCAATGGTCCCGGGGCCCGCAAGCGGCCCCCTGAGTCCGAACGTGGTGAACGGCCGTAACCGGCTCGAGATCGGAATCTTGGCGACGGGAACATTCAGAAACGCGCAGAGTTTTGTGACGCGAAGGCGTCGACATTGACGTCGACGAGGAGGAGGAGGAGGAAGAGAATCTGCCCGCGCGCGACCCGCGCAGACGCCTCCCGTGCGGGAAAGCAGCCCGGCTACGATGGGTGCCGATCGCAGGCGCACGCCGTCCCAAAGTTCCAGGCCTCCCAAAGGAGGTCCGAGTAGCCGGTGTCGGAGGATGGCGCCGCGCCGCCCATGAGCCGCATCGGTGTGGAGCCCGACTTTGTCCACGTCGATGGCGTCGATGTATCGCGGACGTTGCATCGGCGATGCATCGGCGATGCGGCACGATCCTCCGACACGAGCTACTCGGGCCCACTCGGGGGGCCTTTGCAAGCAATACCTTGTTCCGTCGCGTCGCTGCCTGCGATTCGGATCCGGCACATGTTCCTGCTGGTATTTTTCCGAGGTTCTTCAATTATTTTCGCAACGTTTCGTTTTCATATTGCGTTGCATCGCGTTGGTCAATTTTGGTCTCTGGAGGCGCGTTTCGGTCCCCGGGACCGTCAACAATCCATCGAGGATGACAGAACAAGCCAGGACGGCTTTCTGGTTGGGTCCAGGGAATCTTTCAACGGGTTTCGTCGAACGAGGAAGGGCGGCGGGATCGAATATCGAGGATGATGCAGGTTTTTATCCGTCAGGGCTTCGTCCCCTGCCGCCCGCCCCCTCTCTTGGATCATGGGGCATGCAAGAGCTATGTGGTGAGGCCTGGGCGCCGTCGTGAAGCAGCGTCTGAGCTTCGAACGGGGGCAACTTGGGTTCTGGTCCCCCGTTTTGGTCACTCTTGCAGCCGTCTTGGGGCCATCTTGGGCCGTCTTGGGGGTCTCTTGAGCCGTCTTGGGGCCCTCTTGAACCGTCTTTGGGCGCTCTTGAGAGCCTCTTCGGCCGTTTTGGGGCGGTCGCACGAAGAGGCGAGCATCCCAATCCATCAGTCACCTAAGGCGCATCGCAGATGTTGGCCTCTTGGGCCCCTCTTGGGGGTGCTCTTGAGGCGCTCCTGGAGGCCTGGGAGCCTCGTGGGCCGTCTTGGGACCATCGTGGGCGCCTTGGAGCACTCTTTGGCCGCCTCGGATGCCTCTTGTACCGTCTTGGAGGCCTTTTGTGAAGGATTGTGGCTTCGGAAGCGCGAGTACGGAATACTTCACCAGGCCTTATAAGTTCGGGGACGTGACGAACGCGTAACCTACAAGGGATCGTGGCGGCAGGGACGAAGGCACTGCGAAATTTACCAGATAGTCCTGCTTCGGATATGCGAAGATGTATGCTTCCGTTTTCAAACCAGCTTGTCGTCCACCGTGGGGCCGTCTGAAGCCATGGCCGAGTGTGCGCTCTTCTGTCCGTGGGTTTTTCGCTCAAGCTCTTTTGGGACGACCGGCACATGTCGCCCCCAGTCCATTCTGGCATCCTCAAAGGCACTGGCGCACTCAGCAGTTTCGCGTGGACAGCGCGCTCCCGGCCCCCTTGGCTCTCCTCGTTGGCGGACCAGGCCAAGGAGTGCGTGGTGGCCGCCTAGGCACTCGGCGAAGGGCCACGAAACCGGCTTACAATTCGGACTGGGTGCCCACCCCGCTGGAGGTCGTGGAGGCGATCGATTTGGTGGCAAACTCACTGCCCGTGCCGACGACGCGCCTTCGCGGGAAGCAAGCAGTCACAGCAGCCACAGCGACGAGGACAGCAGCAGCGGGAGCTCGAGTTCTTGAGATCAGGAGCGGGGGCTTGCCGGCGATGAAGCCTCTGGAGTGGTACGTGGTGTCGTCTCCAGGGGACACCCCGACAGGCCAGCGGCTGGCCGCAGGCTTTTTAGACGGGCATTGCTGCGCTAGAGAGTTCGCCGTTGGCCTGCTCGATGGCGAAGCGATGCTCTTGCGAGCCTTGGATCCCACGAGGCGACACGCAGCTCGAGATGGACGTTCGCATCTTCCCATCTAATACTCGGCCCACGGTGAGCGGAAGCGGCCGTTCAAGGAGACGGTAGAGACGGTGTCTGAGACGTCGTGGGCCAACTGGCCTTTGCTGGGCCCCAGGACCACGGCCTGGTGCCTTCGGTTTGTGGGCGAGCAGGTGGCGATGCGGGCTGTTGAGCCCGGGCTCCGCTACGATCAGGGCGACATCAGCGAGACGGCGGCGTGCGAGGTGCTGGCTCGACGGGCGCAGATGGCGGAGTGGAGGTACCGCGATCAACTGGCGCCCCGCAGGGCCAACGAGGCGCTGGAGGACGAGCGCTTGTACACGGGCACCGGGAAGACCCAGGAGCTCAGCATGGATGCTCCCGCTTCCGTGGAGTACACCTCGAGCGAGCTGCGTCGCGAGAGTGCCATCAGAAAGGCGAAGAGGAAGCCTCGAGAGGAGCGTCAGCTCGCTCGAGGAGGCGGCGGCATGAGCAGCGACACCAAGGAGACTTTCCAGAGGAAGATCGAGTCCCAGGCCGCGGAGCCTCGCCAGCTCCAGGCCCGACAGGACGCCGCCGGCGACCAGGCGAGTGGTGGCGGCCGCGGTGGCTGGTGGTTTCACCTATGGGCTGGAGCTGGTCGCTGTACTTCTGCCAGGAGATCGTGCACCAGCGCGTGCTCCGGAGCGTCTTCTCGCCCGACTCGATGGTCGAGGGCCGACGGGCGGCCCCGAGTTTGGCCGCGTGCGCGGCCGCGGCCGCCAACGTCGACGGGGTCGCAATCTTGGGCGCAGACGCTGCGGAGCGCTTGCGAGACTGTAACAAGGCACAGGATACCATAGAGCAGTGCGGCTTTCTGACCAAAGGGGGTTGTCGAGCCGTGCAGCGAGCAGGCGCTCGCAAGCCTGACCTTCCATCGGGCCAGCGGGCGGGTGTCTCTGTCGCGCGCTCGCCTGTGGGGGATTCGGCGGGCGCTCCTCTTCGCCGCCGAGTCCAAGGCTATGACGGGCTGTCAGGTCAGGCAGCTGCTGGGGCACTTCACGCGGGCCTGCCTGATCAGGCGCGGGCCACTAGCCTTCGTCGCGGCCAAGCGCGCGTTCGCGGAGAAGGCGGGTGACAGAGCCTGGCGCCCGCGGGCTGCAGTGCGCCACGAGCTGCGCCTCGGCGCCGCCCTGCTCGCCCCCGCGTTCTTGGCACTCGCGCGGCCCATCGATGGGGCGGCTGTCGCCGCGGACGCTTCCGGCAGCCGCCGCGACGAGAGCGCGATATACCATGGCGGCTTCGAGGTGGTCAGTCGCGAGCTGGTCCCGGATGTCATGCAGGGAACCTTGCAAGTGAGCGAGCAATGGATGTATCCTACTGTTGCCAGCATCCAGGCTCGGGCTGCTTCTCTGAGCCTGCGCTCAGACCTCTATGCGCAATGGAAAAAACACGAGCACAACCTCGACGCACGCATGACAGAGATCTCCGCCTGGCCCCTGCTGGAGCCTCGGAGGTGTTCGAGCCCCTGAAGGGCCCGCCGGAGACCTCCACCGGGGCTTTAGTTTTTGGACCCGAGCGCGTCTTGGGGAACTCAGTCGAGGGGGTGGGTAGCGACGTCTTGGGCATGCCTTCGGAGTGGAAGGTTTGCTGTCACGGGTGTTTTGGGCGAGCCGCGGACGCCGTGATCCTGGGGGCCGAGGCTCTTCTCATTTGGGTCCGACATCTTCTCCGATGCCGTCGTCGTCTAGGCCGCCGTCTCTTAGTGCTCTCGGACAACGTGATACTCGTCCTGGCTGCGGTGAAGGGGGGGTCTTCAGTTCCCGCGGTGAACGCCGCGTTGCGTCGCATTGCTGCACTTTGCCTGCTCGCGTGCGTCGACCTCGCAGCTCGTTGGATCCATTCAGAGCTCAGCCCAGCGGATCGCCCTTCGAGGTTACCCGGGGCCCCTGTCAGAGATACGATGGCGGACCCGCGTAGCCTCCTCAGGCCTCGAAGCCCCTGGGCTGGACCTGCGCGCGCCTCCTGGTCTCGAGCATAAGGGAGAATCGCTTCGGCATGCCGCCGTTGAAGCCGACGCTGAAGAGGGGCCCCAGTCTGCCGCCCACTGCGCGGAGACGGGGCTCGGCGACGCCTGGGCCGAGGAGCCAGCCTGGGGCGACCGCCGTCGCGCCGCTGGCGCGGGCCTCGCTGGCGCGGGGAGCGGCGGCGACGCTAGCGGCGACTCCAGCAGCGACGACGAGAAGATCCGCGAGATCGGATGCGGCCTCTCTCGCCGAAGAGCTTCGGCGACGCGGGGCCCAGGCGCGAGCTCGGCAGGCGGCGACGTCGTCGCGGTCGCCGAGGTCGGGGGACTCGCGGACGTTCTTGCAGGCGCACAAGGTCGCGGAGGGCACGGTCGTTTCGCGCAGTGGATGACGGAGCGGCGGGCTCGCTGGCAGATGGCGGAGCAGCTGGACAGACAGCCTGCTGAGCACCTACCTCGACCACTTGTTCTTAAAGGGCCACGGGCGCGACGCAGGCAGCAAGGTGATTGCCGCGGTGAGGCAAATGTCGACCTGGAGGGGTGGCTGCCCGGTGCTCGGGCGGCCATGAAGGGCTTTCGCAAAATGGCCCCGGGCCGCGCTCGGCGGCCGCTCGCCCAGGAGGCCGCGTTCGCGATCGTGGGGTTGGCGACGCTCGACCAGGATATCGAATTCGCTGCTTGCCTGGCGCTGGCGCGGGACGCGGCCCTTCGCGCGCGCGCGCGACCTGCTCGGGCCGATGCCCGGCTGCGTCAGCCTGCCTCAGCCGCGTGGCTTCAAGCGGAGCTGGGGCCTGCTGCTCGACCCGGAGGAGCTCGGGAAGTGCAGCAATGGCCTTGTCTTCGACGGGGGCATGTTGCTCTCGGAGGACGTTCCGCAAGCTCTTGGGCCTTGCCTTCGAGCTACGAGCCAGGCTAGAGAGGGGCGTGCTGTGGAAGTTCAGCGCCGCGGAGTTCGTCGCGCTGTTCAAGAAGTGCGCCGACCGCCTGGGAATGGGCGCCCCCCGCCCCTGCAGGGCCCGCCGCGTCTCGGCCGGCTACGATGTCGCGGCCGGAGTGCGGAGCCTGGAGCATGTGCAGGCGCGATTTCGACACGACAGCTCGAGGAGCACGCGGAGGCACAGTCGCGCGGCGCGATACCTCGCCGAGGCGTCGAAGGCGCCCGTCGGCGGCCGCGACTTCGGGGGGAATGCGCGGCTGCGCCTCGGCGCCCCCCTGCTCGGC